TCCTCCTGTCCTGTCCCCCTGTCCCCTGTCCCTGTCCTCCTGTCCTCCTGTCCTCCTGTCCCCTGTCCCCTGTCCCCCTGTCCCCCCCCTGTCCTCCTGTCCCCTGTCCCCCTGTCCTCCTGTCCCCCTGTCCCCTGTCCCCCTGTCCTCCTGTCCCCTGTCCTCCTGTCCCCTGTCCCCATGTCCCCCTGTCCCCATGTCCCCCTGTCCCTCCTGTCCTCCTGTCCTCCTGTCCCTGTCCTGTCCCCTGTCCCCTGTCCCCTGTCTGTCCCCTGTCCTCCTGTCCCTCCTGTCCCCTGTCCTCCTGTCCCCTCCTGTCCCCTGTCCTCCTGTCCCCCTGTCCCCCTGTCCTCATGTCCCCCTGTCCCCCTGTCCCCCTGTCCCCCTGTCCCCCTGTCCTCCTGTCCCTCTGTCCCCTGTCCTCCTGTCCCCCTGTCCCTCTGTCCTCCTGTCCTCCTGTCCCCTGTCCTCCTGTCCTCCTGTCCTCCTGTCCTCCTGTCCTCCTGTCCCCCTGTCCTCCTGTCCCCCTGTCCCCCTGTCCCCCTGTCCTCATGTCCCCCTGTCCCCATGTCCTCATGTCCCCCTGTCCCCCTGTCCCCCTGTCCCCCTGTCCCCATGTCCCCCTGTCCCCCTGTCCTCTGTCCCCCTGTCCCCTGTCCCCTGTCCCCCTGTCCCCTGTCCTGTCCCCTGTCCCCTGTCCTCCTGTCCCCTGTCCCCCTGTCCCCCTGTCCCCTGTCTGTCCCCTGTCCCCCTGTCCCCTGTCCTGTCCCCCTGTCCTCCTGTCCTCCTGTCCCCCTGTCCCCCTGTCCTCATGTCCTCACAACCAGGACATGACTGTGACGAGTGTGTGTCACACAAACACCTCAAACTCCAGACTCGATACTTGATATTCGATACTCGATATTCGATACTCAATTCTGATCCACGATGAAAATAAAGCCCGTCTTTGTTCAGGTGTAGATCTTTGTCTTCTGNCCCCTGTCCCCCTGTCCTCCTGTCCCTGTCCCCCTGTCCCCCCCCCTGTCCCCCTGTCCCCCTGTCCCCCTGTCCCCCTGTCCTCCTGTCCCCTGTCCCCTGTCCCCTGTCCCCCTGTCCCCCTGTCCCCTGTCCCCTGTCCCCTGTCCCCCTGTCCCCCTGTCCCCCTGTCCCCCTGTCCTCCCCCTGTCCCCCTGTCCTGTCCCCCTGTCCCCCTGTCTGTCCCCTGTCCCCTGTCCCTCCCTGTCCCTCCTGTCCCCCTCCCCTGTCCTCCTGTCCCCTCCTGTCCCCTGTCCCCCTGTGTCCCCCTGTCCCTGTCCTCCTGTCCCCCCTGTCCCCCTGTCCCCTGTCCCTGTCCCCCTGTCCCCCTGTCCCCTGTCCCCCTGTCCTGTCCCCTGTCCCCCTGTCCTCCTGTCCCCCCCCTGTCCCCTGTCCCCCTGTCCCCCTGTCCTCCTGTCCTCCTGTCCTGTCCCCCCTGTCCCCCTGTCCCCCTGTCCCCCCCCCTGTCCCCTGTCCCCCTGTCCTCCCCCTGTCCCCTGTCCCCCTGTCCCCTGTCCTCCTGTCCTGTCCCCTGTCCCCCTGTCCCCCTGTCCCCTGTCCTCCTGTCCTCCTGTCCCCTGTCCCCTGTCCCCCTGTCCCCCCTGTCCTCCTGTCCCCCTGTCCTCCCCTGTCCCCTGTCCTCTGTCCCCTGTCCCCCCTGTCCCCCTGTCCTCCTGTCCTCCTGTCCCCCTGTCCCCCTGTCCTGTCCCTGTCCCCCTGTCCCCTGTCCCCCTGCTGTCCCCCTGTCCCCTGTCCCCTGTCCCCCTGTCCCCCTGTCCCCCTGTCCCCCTGTCCTCCTGTCCCCCTGTCCCCTGTCCCCTGTCCCCCTGTCCCCCTGTCCCCCTGTCCTCATGTCCCCCTGTCCCCCTGTCCCCCTGTCCCCCTGTCCCCCTGTCCCCCCCTGTCCTCCTGTCCCCTGTCCCCCTGTGTCCTCCTGTCCTCCTGTCCCCCTGTCCCCCTGTCCTCATGTCCTCACAACCAGGACATGACTGTGACGAGTGTGTGTCACACAAACACCTCAAACTCCAGACTCGATACTTGATATTCGATACTCGATATTCGATACTCAATTCTGATCCACGATGAAAATAAAGCCCGTCTTTGTTCAGGTGTAGATCTTTGTCTTCTGTCCCGTTTGTCTTTTGGATTTGGACCTGGATAAGCCCCGCCCCCTCTGTCGGCTCTAGGTTCTGCAGCGTCCGGCTCAGAGTCCGGCTCAGAGTCCGGCTCAGAGTCCGGCTCAGAGTCCGGCTCAGAGTCCGGCTCAGAGTCCGGCTCAGAGTCCGGCTCAGAGTCCGGCTCAGAGTCCGGCTCAGAGTCCGGCTCAGCGTCCGGCTCAGAGTCCGGCTCAGAGTCCGGCTCAGAGTCCGGCTCAGAGTCCGGCTCAGAGTCCGGCTCAGCGTCCGGCTCAGAGTCCGGCTCAGAGTCCGGCTCAGAGTCCGGCTCATTTATGTGAAATCAAACTGTCCCCGTTGAACCACATCAGCGACACAAGAGCTGGAGTTTTATCTTCACTTAGTTTATGTAAATTAGTGATGTGGTTTTAAGTTTTGTTTGTGTGAGATTTGAACAAAACTGAATTAAACACATTATAATGTCAAACAGCTGATGTGGATCTAGAGTCGTTATGTTTATATGTCGTAAAGTTGAATTTATTGATGCAGATTAGTGCAGAAAGTAATAATAATGATGATCATTTTAATAGAAAAACGTTCATGATTAATCGATAATCGATCGTTAATTCTTCCGACGATCGATGAAGAAAATTCCATCTAAATACTCGTCCCTGGTTCCTGTGGCTCCTCTTGGACTCGGGCTCCACACTCACACTTTAACTCTACATTTTTTCTGACCTCAACAGTCGTTCAGAGTTTTTCACGACCATCGACGTTGGCGTCGAATCGATAAGATGATGAATCGTATCGATGAGATGATGAATCGTGTCGATGAGATGATGAATCGTGTCGATGAGATGATGAATCGTGTCGATGAGATGATGAATCGTGTCGATGAGATGATGAATCGTGTCGATGAGATGATGAATCGTGTCGATGAGATGATGAATCGTGTCGATGAGATGATGAATCGTGTCGATGAGATGATGAATCGATGATGATCGATGATGATGATGATGATGAATCGTGTCGATGAGATGATGAATGATGAATCGTGTCGATGAGATGATGAATCGTGTCGATGAGATGATGAATCGTGTCGATGAGATGATGAATCGATGATCGATCGATCGATGATGCTGAAATCGATGAATCGATCGAGATGATGAATGTGTCGATGAGATGATGAATCGTATCGATGAGATGATGAATCGTATCGATGAGATGATGAATCGTGTCGATGAGATGATGAATCGTGTCGAAGCGTCAGAGTAAATCAAACCCAAACTCGTCCGCGTTGAATCAGCTGATCTCAGGTTGAAGACGGAGCTGCACCTGTGGCTCGTCCGTCTGCGTCTGATGGACCCGAGCCGTAAAACCATCTGTTATAAACAACACGGACGAGAACGCACCTGCCCGTCTGCACCTGCCCGTCTGCACCTGCCCATCTGCACCTGCCCATCTGCACCTGCCCGTCTGCACCTGCCCGTCTGCACCTGCCCATCTGCACCTGCCCATCTGCACCTGCCCGTCTGCACCTGCCCGTCTGCACCTGCCCATCTGCACCTGCCCATCTGCACCTGCCCGTCTGCACCTGCCCGTCTGCACCTGCCCGTCTGCACCTGCCCGTCTGCACCTGCCCGTCGCCTGTCAGTGCCACGGCTCGCGGAACGTTTCCCCTGTCGAAGTGTGAAACCAGGTCACGTTTTTACTGAAGGAGCCGGAGCAAAGAGCCACGTGTCTGAGTCATCTAGAGATCTCTCCCCACTCCCCTGTTCAAACGCTCCTCACGGTTCACAGCAGTACGAGTCTGTACGAGGCTCCGCCCACAAGACAATCCTCCATAAATATACAAAAACACAAAACTCAAACCTGAAGTGACGGGCAGGACTAAACCAGGACTAAACCAGGACTAAACCAGGACTAAACCAGGACTAAACCAGAACTAAACCAGGACTAAACCAGAACTAAACCAGAACTAAACCAGGACTAAACCAGAACTAAACCAGAACTAAACCAGGACTAAACCAGGACTGAACCAGGACTAAACCAGGTCTAAACCAGGACTAAACCAGGACTAAACCAGAACTAAACCAGGACTAAACCAGGACTAAACCAGGACTAAACCAGGACTAAACCAGGACTAAAAACTAAACCAGGACTAAACCAGAACTAAACCAGGACTAAACCAGGACTAAACCAGGGACTAAACAGGACTAAACCAGAAACTAAACCAGGACTAAACCAGGACTAAACCAGGACTAAACCAGAACTAAACCAGGGACTAAACCAGGACTAAACCAGGACTAAACCAGGACTAAACCAGGACTAAACCAGGGACTAAACCAGGACTAAACCAGGACTAAACCAGGACTAAACCAGGACTAAACCAGAACTAAACCAGGACTAAACCAGGACTAAACCAGGACTAAACCAGGAACTAAACCAGGACTAAACCAGGACTAAACCAGGACTAAACCAGGACTAAACCAGGACTAAACCAGAACTAAACCAGGACTAAACCAGGACTAAACCAGGACTAAACCAGGTCTAAACCAGGACTTAGTCGTCGTTTAAACAAAGAGGGTTTTATTTTCATCGTGGGATCAGAATCGGTATCGAGTATCGAGTGTGTATCAAAAGTATCGGTGGCGTCAGTGTGTAGTAAAGTGTGTGTCTGTTTTTTGTGTCTCTGCTGTTTCCTCTTTCAGTAAAATGTGTTTTTATTCGTGTGTTTCTGGTGGTTTTCATGTCTCTCGTGTCGGTGTTTGTGTTTTTGTGCAGAGGTTCGACTGTAACATCGTGTCTCTGTCCGACCTGGAGTTTGAGGCCGAGTTCAGTCTGAAGATCAGGACCAGCGCCCCCTGTACGGTGAGTCCTGACACTGCAGCTCCGGCTCGGCACTTGTTTTTTTTTATTTTTTTATTTGAGTTTAACCCTAAAGCTTCTTCTCTTTGCAAACATTTTTATAAAACCACACAGAACTTTCTAAACATAAAAGACAAAACCTGACTTTTGTTCCCTTAAAAATCTGAGAGTCGAGTCTTTCTGATCGTGTTTCGTGTCGTTCTCCTGCGTCTGTCGCTGTGACGACGTCGGGAAAACGAGTGTCCAACAGGAACTTTGTCTTGTTCTCCGTCCGTTTTGATTGGTCCAAACGTTACCAAAGAGTGTAGTGAGTCAAAACGGTCGATGATCTGAGCGTCTGTGTTCAGAACAAGTGAAAAAGTGGCAGAGATTTGTCACATAAATGAACAAATGACACATGTTGGTCTGTGTTATTGTGCGTCTGTTGTTACGTTTGTTTATTTACACACTTGATGTTTTAACTTTTTGTAGCTCAGGCCTGAAATGAAACATTTTTAGATCCAAAAAGTTGTTCATACATCAGATAAAGACAAAGAGGCCGAGGCTTCACTGGGTCATAGAAGATTAGAAAATAACAGCACAGATCCACGAGGGTAAAACAAACACAAAATCACCTTTGCTGGAAAATGTCACGTCTGCTCATCACTTTTATCTGTGTCTGGTCAAGTGGTAACGGAGGAAACGGTCAGATTTTTGACATTCAAATGTCTCTTCTTCAGAAACTAGAGGAACTATTGAAATAAGTAAAGTATCAGAATGTAGGAAAGAGTTACACTCCAACAGGGTCAAGTTAAACCTGTGAGATTCTTTCAAGTTGTTGACAAAAATTTTTAAAACTCATGTCATTAACGGAGGGAATGAAATATGCAGCACTTTTTGGTCAATAAATCCAAACAGTGATAACTCTTGGTTCTCACTTCCATATCCTTAACAAACTGGTTTGAATATTTGCTTCATATAGTTTTCTACCATATGGTACAAGATTAGGTTGAAAAACCTCTGACTTTTTGACTCATGAGATTTTTTATTAAGAAAGTTCATGGTAACGGAGGGAAAAGTAACGGAGGGAAAATTGTACAAACAAGTAGAAGGTGCAGGATTTTACATCATTTGTGGCTTTTTTCTTCTGAAAACTTTAATATTACTTCAAAATGAAAGAAACTCCATCCATCCATTTTCGTCCACTTATCCGGGGCCGGGTCGCGGGGGCATCAGTCTAAGCAGGGACTCCCAGACTTCCTCACCCCAGACACTTCCTCCAGCTCCTCCGGGGGAACCCCAAGGCGTTCCCAGGCCAGCTGAGAAACATAGTCCCTCCAGTGTGTCCTGGGTCTTCCCCGGGGCCTCCTCCCAGTGGGACATGCCCAGAACACCTCCCGAGGGAGACGTCCAGGAGACATCCAGAACAGATGCCCGAGCCTCAGTTGGCTCCTCTCGACGTGGAGGAGCAGCGGCTCTACTCCGAGCTCCTCCCGTGTGACTGAGCTCCTCACTCTGTCTCTAAGGGAGACGTCCAGACACCCTGCGGAGGAAACTCATTTCGAGCGCTTGTATTCGCGATCTCGTCCTTTCGTTCACTACCCAGAGCTCATGACCAGAGGTGAGAGTAGGAACGAAGACTGACCGGTAAATCGAGAGCTTCGCCTTTTGGCTCAGCTCCTCTTCACCACAACGGTCCGATACAGCGACCGCATCACTGCAGACGCTGCACCTGTCCACCTGTCAATCTCACATTCCGTCCTCCCCTCACTCGTGAACAAGACCCTGAGATACTTGAACTCCTCCACTTGAGGCAAAGACTCCCCACCCACCCGGAGAGGGCAAACCACCTTTTTCCGGTCGAGAACCATGGCCTCAGACTTAGAAGAGCTGATCTTCATCCCAGTCGCTTCACACTCGGGTCAAACTGCCCCAGTGCTGCAGGTCCTGGTTCGATGAAGCCAACAGGACAACATCATCTGCGAACAGCAGAGATGATCCTGTGGTCCCCAACCGGACCCCCTCCGGCCCCTGACTGCGCCTAGAAATTCTGTCCATAAACACAATGAACAGAACCGGTGACAGGTGCAGTCCTGGCGGAGTCCAGCATGCACCGGGAACAGGTCTGACTTGCTGCCGGCAATAAACACGGTCATACAGGGACCATACTCCCAGAGCACCCCCCACAGGACACCACGAGGGACACGGTCGAATGTCTTCTCCAGATCCACAAAGCACATGTGTACTGGTTGGGCAAACTCCCATGAACCTCGAGCACCGATGGAGAGTGTAGAGCTGGTCCAGTGTTCCACGACCAGGACCAAAACCACACTGCTCTTCCTGGATCCGAGGTTCGACTATCGGCCGGATTCTCCTCTCCAGTCCCTGGCATAGACCGGGAAGGCTGAGGAGTATGATCCCCCTATAGTTGGAACACACCCTCCGGTCCCCCTTCTTATACAGAGGGACCACCACCCCGGTTTGCCAGTCCAGAGGTTCTGTCCCCGACCGCCACGTGATGTTGAAGAGGCGTGTCAGCCAAGACCCACAACATCCAGAGACTTAAGGTACTCAGGACGGATCTCATCCACCCCCGGAGCCTTGCCACCAAGGAGCTTTAACCACCTCAGTGACTTCAGCCAGGGTGATGGATGAGTCCGCCTCCGAGTCCCCAGCCTCGGCCTCCTCCTCGGAAGACGTGACGGTGGGATTGAGGAGATCCTCAAAGTTTTCCTTCCACCGCCGGACAACGTCCCCAGTTGAGGTCAGCAGCTCTCCCCCCGCACTGTAAACAGTGTTGGCGAAGAACTGCTTCCCCCTCCTGAGGCGCCGGACGGTTTGCCAGAATCTCTTTGAGGCCATCCGATAGTCCTTCTCCGTGGCCTCCCTGAACTCCTCCCAGCTCAGAGTTTTTGCCTCCGCAACCACACGGGCTGCAGCACGCTTGGCCCGCCGGTACCCATCAGCTGCCTCAGGAGTCCCCCGAGCCAGCAAGGCCCGATAGGACTCCTTCTTCAGCTTGACAGCATCCCTTACTTCCGGTGTCCACCACCGGGTTCGGGGATTGCCGCCGCGACAGGCACCACAGACCTTACGCCCACAGCTACGAGCGGCCGCATCGACAATAGAGGCCGAGAATGAAGCCCACTCGGACTCCATATCTCCAACCTCCCCCGGAATCTGGGAGAAGTCCTCCCGGAGGTGCGAGTTGAAGGTTCCTCTGACAGAGGCTCCGCCAGACGTTCCCAACAGACCCTCACTACACGCTTGGGCCTGCCAGGTCTTTCCGGCTTCCTCCTCTGCCAGCGAACCCAACTCACAACCAGGTGGTGATCAGTTGACAGCTCAGCCCCTCTCTTCACCCGAGTGTCCAAGACACGCGGCCGGAGATCAGATGACCCTCCGGCCTAGGGTGTCCTGGTGCCACGTGCACTTATGGACACCCTTGTGCTCGAACATGGTGTTTGTTATGGACAAACTGTGACTAGCACAGAAGTCCAATAACAAAACACCACTCGGGTTCAGATCAGGGAGGCCGTTCCTCCCAATCACCCCCCTCCAAGTGTCACTGTCGTTGCCCACGTGGGCGTTGAAGTCCCCCAGGAGAACAACAGAGTCCCCGGTCAGTGCACTGTCTAGTACCCCTCCCAAGGACTCCAAGAAGGCCGGGTACTCGAGTACTCTACACTGTTGTTTGGCCCGTAGGCCGACACCACAGTGAGAGACCTGTCCCCGACCCGAAGGCGCAGGGACGCGACCCTCTCGTTCACCGGGGTGAACTCCAACACATAGCGGCTGAGCTGTGGGGCAATGAGCCCACACCAGCCCGCCGCCGCTCCCCGCGGCCAACGCCAGAGAAATGGAGAGTCCAGCCCCTCTCAAAGAGTTGGGTTCCAGAGCCCAAACTGTGCGTGGAGGTGAGGCCGACTGTATCTAGTCGGTAACGCTCAACCTCCCGCACAAGCTCAGGCTCCTTCCCCCCCCAGCGAGGTGACATTCCATGTCCCCAGAGTTAATCTCCATGTCCGGAGATCCGGTCGTCGAGGCCCCCGCCGTCAACTGCCGCCCAGATCTCTCTGCACCGGCCCCATATGGCTCCTCCCGCGGGTGGTGGGCCCACGTGAGGACGGCCCCACGTCGCTCCTTCGGGCTGAGCCCGGCCGAGCCCCGTGGGGGGAGGCCCGGCCACCAGGCGCTCGCTGACGAGCACCCACCCCAGGCCTGGCTCCAGGGTGAGGCCTCGGTGACGCCAATCCGGGCGACGTAACTGGCCTCTGTGTGTAACTCATCATGTGGGGCTTCTGAACCGTTCTTCGTCTGACCCGTCCCCCCGGACCTGTTTGCCTTGGGAGACCCGACCAGGGGCATGAAGCCCCCGACAACAGAGCTCCTGGGATCATTCGGGCATCAAACCCTCCACCACGATAAGGTGACGGTTCAAGGAGGGGATGAAAGAAACTATTTCTATAAAATGTGTCAGTCCTTCCAAGAACATTTTTATCATTTTAAATACTTTTTTTTTTTTAAATCATGTCCCTTCATCAACAGTTCAAAGATGGAATAACACAAGATATGATGAAATACAAACATTTATTTACATGATTTTCAGGTCTTTGAAATTTGGGAAATATTTTTTGTTCCATGTTTCATTCATGGTCTGTTTAAAACAGATGGAACTTTAGAACCAAAAATGGAACAGAAAAAAGGTCAACAGTTTGATAAACTCGAGTACATATGTATCTGTTCAATACACTTTTATATCAGATGAATTCACTTGAAGTTTTGGTCTTGTTGTTTACTTCTGCTGGACCAGGACCAAATTACTCTTTTTAGTTTTGTTGTTGGTTGTTGTCTTTTTCCAGTCGTCATGTGATTGATAATTAATTATTTTTAATGACATCGGTGTGTTTTGTTTCACCACTTTGTCCTGACAAAGATCATTCTGTTGGTGGAAACTCGTTGGCGTCTCTTCATGAAATAAAACACTTTTAATATTTTCAGTGGGAGTTCCACGGGTTTGTACA